TGTTCAACCTACATGGAGCCAGCTCAGGTCTGCAGGGGCTGTACCACAAGCTCTGCCCCACACAGCTGTGGACATACATGTTGTGGACACTGCCACAGAAACAGCACAGCTGAATTTAAGCAGTGCTGTACCTGAAGTAAAAATATCTGGAACCTGGCAAACTATGCAAAAAGAACTCTCCCCACGCCTGCTTACTGCAGATAGCCCAAGCTTCCACAGGTAAAAGAACCAGCTGTACTTCAGAGACAGAAGGATATTGGCAGCGATCATGACTGAACTATAGTTGCCCAAATATATAACAGGAGAGATACATGTAGGAGAGTCTTCTAATTGAGCACAATTATCTTGTGTCTAATTGCCTTCTAAATTGAGTATGTAATTTAATTTCTATAGATTGCATACTGTATACACTGACAGTCCTTTAGCATCTTCAATCCAGAGTTTGCATTAAGTTTTAAATAAAAAAAATAGTCTAACTACCAGAACAGGGAATATTGCTGAGGAGACCAGCACTGTATCTATTTATATCTCAATCCATTTGCTGACACTTACCCTATCTAAGCCATTTGGGTTTGATCCCATAAAAGTGACTACTAACTTTTAGAAATATTTGGGAGTTAGAAGTACTTAAGCTTTCAGAAGTACTCAATACGTTAACTAACAAATTCATTTGTTATTTAACCTACTAATTTGCTGACAAGTTGATGACAGTGTGGCAATCTGAACAAATCTCATACAATGCACGTAGAAATCACTTAGATGAATAACACCCTTCTATTGATCACATCAAATTTAGGCAAATTACTTTTGCCTTTAAGAGAAAGAATGAGTCTGTAATCATATTTAGATTGAAACCTAAAGTCATAACTGATCTGAGACTTGAAAAATTAGGCCTACACCAAGACCTTTAACTTGACCTGTTCGTACAAAACCTTCTAAATTTCCCAAGTACAATCATGTAAATCTTTCTAGGAGTGAATAATACAAAAAGCTCCTTAGAAAGAACCAGTCTGACAAAAATATGTAAGAGTATTCTACACCTAAACCTCTTACATCCTATTTACTGGCTATGGATTAAATGTTTTGGAGTGAACAAGATAAAGAGTAATTTTCAGATCATGACCCTTGGCATTTCTTCTGCCTTTGGTTTGGTTGCCTCTTTGTACTCAAATACTCAGCCACTTCCATAAAGAATATGTTCTGAATTGCTCAGACTGGAAACAAAGCAAAGGTTTATAATAATCCTGATTTTATAGATGGGAACACTAAGAGACAGAGAAGGATTTACTGGTTCCAACATTACCTATTATTAGAACTAAGACAGGATATTTCGTTTACTGAATCCCACTGAGCAGCTGCCCCTCCTGTCTTTCACACAGTGATTCTCATTTATTTAATTTAATTCTCTTCCCAATAACAACAATCTGCAGGCAAAAGACTAATTCTTACTGCCTCTGATTTGTCCTTTTTCTTTGTCTCGAAGTTCTGAATTATAAGAGTTTATTTTTTTAGCAGAACTGGACAAATAACTCTATTCTGAGGAAAAAAGAATCACTTTCAGAAGCTTTTACTAATGACATTCTCAGTAGCTTTGGACATAATACAAAGAAGTTGCAGACAACAGAGGCTCATACTAGTTGATACTATATCTCCTCTGGTTCCCTAGCTTAGGGACTTATGAGAGACTGTTTTTTGTCATTTTGCCTACAACTTGTGTGTGTCTATATAGCATTGGGAAACTGGGCAATCCTGCAGCTCGTGAATGCAACTTCAATTCAGGAACAGATATGTGCCACACTGCCTTATTCTGCTGTAATATCAAAAGGCTATAACTTCAGGTGTTTTGACCTTGGAGCTTCCCAAGTGAGAAATCCTGCAGTATCCCTTACTTCAGATTTTTCTCTTTGTGTCCAGTGTAATAAGAGAAGTGACTGAGTATAATCTAAAGTAGCCAGTCAGGGATTTATCACTCAACTTACCTTAATATATACAGGCTAATAACAGCCTCAGCTGTTCCTGAAGTACTCCTTGATGTGAAATATAAATAATTATGGCATTAACTGAGCTAACTGGATTTTCACTGATGTATGCTAACTTGGATGACCATGGTGAATGCAAATGTCTTTTCAAATTTGCACTTCCCCCAAAAAATGCTGCCTGTTTTCTAAAGAACATTAAAGAGCTATATCCTTCAAACCAAGAAGATTTAGTCTAATACTTTGGCTGCTGCTTCTAGTAAGCAAACATTCATGGACTACTTCCCAGCAACCCTCCAAAATGGCATCTGGCATCTTTTGGGAAGCTCTGACTTACCTTCAGAGGTCACATAAAAAAAAAAAAACGCAACCAGAAAAAGGAAAGAAAAGCAAAACCTGCCAGAATTACAACTCAGAAACAGCTGCTGTCTATGAAGATCTCCTTGCTTAGGTGACCAGTTACACAGCTATTTTGACTGGTTACAGAAGTATTTTATTCTTACAATTTTATGATCCCTTATGTGATTAGGGGAAAAGAACTGTTGGAATGAACATTCTGAAAATCTTGGGAATCCCACATTTGAAATGGCAGTTCTGGCAAGTGTCACAAACAGTAAGACAGATTGCTAGCTGCTTCTGGAAAGCAAACACACAAGTCTTTACAAGTCCAGAAATCTATCTGGGCAAGAAGAATAAAAGGTTAAATGGGCACAAAAAATGCAAGTTCAGATTTTAGCTTTTCCAAGCAGACTCTACAGATCATGATCCAAAAGACTTTCTTTACAACATCCAGATCTGATAGCAGTGTAAGTGTGATAGCACAAGTTGCCAAAACTGTCCTAAGATCCTGGACAAATGTTCAAATGAGAAACTTGTGAAGCTTTTCCCAGCTATATGTATCACTGCCCAAGCTGGTAGGCTTAGAATAGAGTCAGGTATCCCTGCCCAGAATTCACTTACAGCCATGGATCCTCTGGCAAATTATACTTCATTAAGCAGAAATACAAGTAGCTTTCATTCACCCTCTAAGCAAACGTAGAATAAAACCTACCTATTTATTTACATGTAATCAAGGAGAACAGGGTTTTAGATGAGATATCAAGAAGCGTGCCTCTGTTTTACTTTCTCCACAGGTAAGAGGTATACTGTTGTATAAGAGTTAAACTCACTTCATACTTCCTAAATAGGAACATTCTTGATTATATGCCACAAACACATGGTCACTACCCTTTAACGCCTCACTTGTTATTAGCCTTACAATGCATCAGAAACAAATCATCTGCTTAATTTGAGGTTGCTTTCTACATGTATCTTTTATCCAACCTGGGATTAATCATAGAAGCAGTTCAAAAAAACCAGCATTGCTTACTAAAAATGAGAAACCACAGAAGCACAACTATTACAGTCCTTAGCTGATCATATCTTGATGCTTTAGGGCTCAAAAGGGAATTGTACGCAAGTCTTTCATGTTACTAGATGGATTGTTCTAATGGCCCTTAATTTTCCCAGCATGTTTCTACAGTTTAAGTAGTACAGAGACAACTGTTTTTCAGCTTTCCCCATTGAAGGTGACACAAGTTTGCCCTATCTTGGAACTTAGTCAACCACCTCACTCATCTTGACTCACTCTGACTTGGTAAGACAAGTGCTTAACTTAATTCTGAAGTACTGTTTCTCTAGTAAGAGATTTTATGAGGACAGCCAATGGGGCTGGAATTAGACTCCTTAGGCTTTAGTCTTTACCTGTCTGCAGTCATGCAGGGCAAACCACTCAGTGCCTCAGTTTCTCTAAAATGTACTTATCTTCATAAAACAAGTCAAGGTCCTTGAGTGAAAAGGGCTTTTTTTATTTGTTTGTACTATCATGGTGCTATGAGAAGCCAAAGGAGGTCAACTTCCTATTTTATCCAAGCAGTGCACAAAAAATAAAAGGTGATAAAGGGAAGGAGACAAGGAAGATTGTGACAATTTTATCTGGATGGGCACTGAAACATGAAGGAATCAAATCCCTGTAGATCTGTATGAGAACCAGAAGTTAGCTCTGCGATTCCCTCTAGTGCAGGGCTCCAGCTGCAGTGCCACTCCTCTCTGCAAATACAGCTTACAGTAAGGCAAAAGATTTCCGCAATCTTTAGATTTGTAAAAGCTGCAGGAGACACCTCAGTAGCATAGAACTGAGCTAATGGAAAGGAGATCCACTCTAACATCTCTCTGGTATCCCTGTGCCTGTTGCACACAATGTGTTTTGAAAAGTCTCATTGTAGGTATCACCAGTCATGAGGACAAACACTCTTTTCTACACTTCAGTCCATTTCACTGTGTAGATCTCAAAGAATTAGGCTGTCCTGGTAGGCAACAGAATTTCCTCTGCCATCATTCCACTGTACCGCACAAAGCACCGTATATCCAGTTTAAATTTGCCAACTGTCGCTTTTCCTATCTAACCACTTTTTTTCAGCCTCACAATAGCCTATTCAAAAAGAATAGGCTATTCAAAAAGAAATTGAAAATAACTTTGGAATTGCTCGAGTTGCAGGAAGCCAACTGTTCACTTACCTAGAATCGCAAAATAATTTAGATTTAAATATGTCTCTCAGAGTCATCTAATATAACTCCTTACCCAAAAGCAAGGTGAACTTCAAAAGTAAATCAGACTGCTCAAGGCCTTTACTGGCCAAGTTTTAAAATTTCCAAGGTCAGAGATTCTACAGCCTCTCCAGGTACCTGTTCAGTGTTCAAGTAAGAATCGACTGACACCTCCAAATTCCCCAGACATTTCCAGTGAAGGACAGTCCTCTCACTGTGGCACTATGGTGCTAAACAGACACTGATGGGCCAGTGAGACCATAAAGGCACTTGTGAGAATTTTAAGGCTTCACAAAACAGATTTCACCAACTGCTACCCCCATCAGAAGGACAGCTACTGCTGCAGCACAGCAACCATTCTGCTGCCCACAGGATGATATATGTACAAGCCTTTTTCCCCCAGTGACTTGGCTTTGTTTCTGTGTATCTGGTACGTAGGCGAGGAGTTCTGCACCTGCACGAAAGCCGTGGAATCCACGACCTTGGCTTGCCTCGCTGGCAACTTTCCCTCTGCCTCTTGGTGGTGGTAATCATTCTTTTCTTTAGTCTCTGGAAAGGCGTGAAGACTTCAGGAAAGGTAGAGCTAATATTGTCCTTCTATCTCAACTACATTCTTTGTCTCCTTTACAAAGCCTCATTATTTTAAAAAGCAAGAGACTAAATCATTGCTTCTGAGGGATCCTTAGGGACCAAACCATATGAGAGGCCTTCACAGATGTACAGTGGAAATATATAATCCCAATTCAGCCTTTATTTTATTTACAAATTTTGCTTGTGTGATGTTCCAGCTGTAAGTTTTACTACCATATGATTTTCAATTCAATTTTAGTGGTGTCATCCAGAAGATACTAATTTTAAATTGTCTTACATGTGCCTCCTATTCTTTGCCAAATGTAATGTTTCAATGTTTTAACATACTTTGGTTTTATTATGTAAAATGCCATGACTAGAGAAATATCTGATGAAAACAACTTGAAATTACCCCTTGACATCCCTCAGAAAAGACCTCAACAGAAATTCTAGGGCTGGAGACATCCCAGAGCTTTTTGCACATTTTCATAGAAGTACCACCTACCATCAGGCAATGACTGTACTTTAGCAAATGAATATACAGCTAAACAGTTAAGCAGCAGTCTCACACACCCTGGTAATGTGCAAGCACCCCAGGTCTTCTGTTTGTCAAAACTGTTTCCTATTGGTATCTATAAACCTACATAAAGACTCATGACACGTAACAGCATTTTCCCCCAAGACAGCCCATAAAGCTTTTCCATCAAACTGGGCAAAACCAAGAAAGTGCATGTTGTATTTTTCACACATTCTTAAATCTTCTGTTACAGGCGATTAACCTTTGGGATCTCTGTTGTCTGCAGGTTGTTTGGATAACAGCCACTTTGCCTTATGTTGTATTATTTGTCTTGTTAATACATGGGATGACCCTGCCTGGTGCATACAATGGAATAAACGCGTACTTGCACATAGATTTCAGAAGATTAAAAGAAGCCACAGTAAGTGTACTTTTCTGCTCTCATCCCCTTATTATTAATTCTGTTGCCACTCTTATTAAAACTGAAAATATTAGAGCTGATTTCTGAAATTATATAGCCACACTTCCACTTTTGCACTTATCCCTGATAGTCCTGTTATGGAGAGTGTTGCAAAGTTAGACTATCTCAGGCTCAACCCAACCTGTTCTGATCTCTAAAAAAGAACCTGCACAAGGGCAGTTTCAGGTGTGGTAGTCCCTTAAAAAAGCCCATGCTTTGACTCTGCACCCTGTAAATCGTAGTATCCTTTATAAATGAAAATTATGACTATATGAAGTGTAGTCATCAAAGGCTAGGAACTCCCTCAAGAAGAAACTTCTGCTTTTTGAATCACTTTTTTTTTTTTTTACGAGGTTAAATATTAACCTCGTAAACAAAAATCCTGGCCTATGAAAACCTTGCTAAACAAACTAAATCAGGACTAACTCACCTAATCATAGTCCTTCATACAAATGAGATTTTCATAGATCCACACCAACTCAATTTGTGAAGTACCTTGGAACTAAGAATTATTTCATCCATTGGAAAGCAACATCTATGAGTATAGTCACTAACTCCTGAAATGACCAGCATTTCACACCTACAAACAACAGTGATGTGGTGACTACAGAGAGACCTTACCACTGCATGATTCTAAAGCCAACATAAATAATTTAGAAGACAGCTCTATCTCTGTGGATGGGTCGTGAGATCCCTCAAATGGTCACAAAACTGAAAAGTGAGTACTTAGCTCTACTAGAAGTGGACTGTCTTAAAAATTTGCAGCTTTCAGAGATGCCTGTAGTCTGTACTTAGTTGCACTGTACTTCTCCTATGCATCCTGCCTTGAGTTTTCCTGAATAATTAAAAATACCTTGAATGTTAGAATACGGACCTATTTTTACTCTTAGCAAAACAATCCTTCCTTGGTTTTGTAATACTAAACTTGGAAACCGGCACTTGTTCAGCACCGGAAATTACCACCAGTAAGACCCCACCTCACTATTTTGGAACAGGCAAGCGGAATTTCAAACACAGGACTTTCATCCACCTTTGTCACCAAGGCAGTAGCCACCCCACTAGTTCCCATTTATGCAATTGCATGAATACAAAGATGCAAGGATGAACAAAGAAGATACTTATATTTTTCTTACGTATTTTAAGTGCTGTTTGGAACAAAACATGACAAGTTCAACTAGACGTCTATGGAGCTGTGCCAGCTTGCATCAGCTCAGAATCTAGGCCTCCATACTCACAGCTGCCTTCTGCTTTTAGAATATCCTGTGCACTGCTCTTTCTTGGCTTAGTATTTCTGCAGCTGCTGTTTGGATCACCCTGAAGTTATTTGTTTCTAAGACTAAATATTTCAGACAATGAAAAAAGTTGCTCTAGACCAATAAAAGACTGAAGGTCAGTTCTAAGAAGTTTCACAAACTGCTTTGTCATGTCAGCCTTTCTCCTGCTCAGAGACTGGGATACCTGCTGCTGCAGTAGGTGTGTGCATTTCATCTCTGTCGTCAGGCTCCAAAGAACAGACTCCAGCTTCAATTCCACATCAATGCATTCATCAGTCTTTCTGATTTATGCTTTTTTTCCCCTCCCAAACAAAGAATCTAACAAAATAACCATTGTAAGTCACCAACAGTAATGACCTGCCAGTGTCTCTGTCAGTGCTCTTCTAAAAGACCTTAAACACCCTAATCAATGTCAAGGTCTGTCTCGTTTTATGGGCCACATACTGCACAGCAGCAAGCAGACACCTCGGACTCCTCAGTTCTCAGGGATACAGAATCCACAAAGCATGTCTAAAGATTTTCACCTGCGGCCTCTTAACTAGACCAGTGCCTAGCAACACTTGTCCAGGAGCTACAAAGCCACACACTCATCCTCACTGCACAAACAGATGCATTAAACACCTATTTAAAAGAGCAGCTACACTTCTGTTCTGCAAAAGGAATCAGCATTAAATACAGAGTTAAATCAGACATGAGGGAAACACTCGCTCTTTCATACACTTTAACAAGTTTCCTGAAGATCATACAACATCTGGGGGTGCACACAAGGTTTCCTCTCCACCCAGCACAGTAATTCTTTAAATCCGCATACACAAGAATATGCACAGAAGTTAAAATGGCATAAAAAACCATGAAGAAAGCTAGAGAGATTGATGAGTGCCTCCTACAAAATGTTTCTTTTTTTTCATTTTAACATATCTAAAACCAATATCCAACCATAAAATACATTAGATGATGCATCAATCATAAGCCATTCAGCTGAAGTGAGCAGAGAACACCAGCATAAACTGCAGAAGAACCAGCCCCACTACCTCTTTCACATCCTGCTTTGTTATGACAAATTGAATGTTTAGCATTTAATCTTAGTTCTACAAGAATTTCTGGTTCTGTTCTTTTTTTCCCTTCACCTTGATCGTCTCAATTTGTTTCCTGACCAGCTACTATGAGCCAGGACTCTTACTCAACAGATTCTCAGGCATGTGCTTAACTGCTTTGTTATCAGCAGGTACTAACCTCTATTTTGACTCAACAGAATTTAAGCACATGCTTAACAGTACTTAGAGAATTAGGGAAGTATAATGAGTGCAACTTCACTGACAAGACACAGAAGAGCTAGAGAACCACTAAAAACAAGTGTCTTACAGTGGCAGCATGTAGATCTAGTTATAGTTTAAGCAAAATTTATTCTAAGAAAATTTCAGGAACTTCATTAGTAAAACCAGTTATGGGAAATTCTTTAAAAAAAAATACAACAACAAGAAAGATTACAGGAGGCTTTGAATACCTCTTTGTGTACTCTCATCTACATCAACAGCCTGGTCTTCAGGGAGTACAACCTTATTTGATCTCAACCTTTGTGTGCAGATATGATGCAACTGGGTATATAAAAAGAATGAGCAAGGAATTAAATTTCACAGTATTTTTTTTTTTTGCTATTTAGTAAAAGAAATCCATGATACCCAAAAGCCCTGTATGAACTGCTGTTTGAGAAAAGTCATATGGACCTTTGCAGTCGTTTGCAATAAACATATGATAAATTGCTCTTTGTATTATCTTTCAAGTAATTAACTCTCAACAGTTCATAAAATTAAGTTTCTCTAAAAATCCCAAGTTCAATAAATGATTCAGTCTTCAGCAGGCAATAGTTGAAAGCATCTGTCACCTATGTCAAGAAAAAAAGTAGATCACTAGTCTAAATGCTTCCATACACCTTGTTAGGATGGGATAAAGTTCCCACTCTCTCTCCACTGGGCCCAATGCAAAGCCTTAGCATTAGAATCCCAGTGCAGATGGAGCTCATAAGCTCCTTAGAACTTCTAGAAAGCCACTGCTGAATAGACACATTGGATCTGATTTTGTAGAGATCTATTGAAATGAAATCCAGTGCTTTTCATAGTCTTGAGCACTTAGCAGATTGAATTGAACATTGAAGATCACATTTTGAGAAATGTTAAGTATTATTCACTCCGTTGACTTCATCGCCTTTGTTGAAGATGCTTGTTTAAATATCTCAGTGAAACAAGTGAGTAAGTGAAAGAAAGCCTCATTAACCAGGGTAGGCTATTTTCAGGTTTCTGATTCAGGAGATTAGCCCACAGCGTTCCCAACTGCTGTCTGCGCATCTTGAGTGGATGTTGGTTTGGAGGGTCACTTTAGAAAATGTTACTACTTCAAAAACATGTTGTTCCTAGTGGACCATTCTTAAAATGACCAAGCCACTTCTAAACTAAAATGTAATGACTATCACAAGAATAGCTCCTCCTCTAAGTGGGAAAGTTGACAGATAACCTGCACGGTTCTGTCTGCAGCATGTCAGTCATGCTTTCACTTCTGAATGAAGAAAGCATCATATGAAGTGTACTAAGCGTCCCATGAAGTAAGCTCTCTTATGGGAAAAAAAAAAGGCCTGTAACTTTTGACCCATTAAGTATTTTTAGTTTTCTGGTTGTACATTCCAAACGAAGTTAGAACAACAACTACTGGAAGCACAGAGAGCACGTCCACTGCTTCAGCTCTGACCATTGCAGGTTAAGCCATTCCAGGTAATGACTGTGCTCCCTGTGACATCTCGGGGTGGGGGTGCTGAGAAGCACTTACACTCCCATAAGCATGAAAGCCAACAATTTTTCAAAAGCCAGTTGTCTTGTATGCTTCTTGCATGTCTCTTTTGGGCTGAACTGGCACTGACAATGCTGGTGTCATTATGCAGGTATGGATCGATGCAGCTACTCAGATATTTTACTCCTTAGGAGCCGGGTTTGGCGTTTTAATTGCATTTGCCAGTTACAACAAGTTTGACAACAACTGTTACAGGTAAGACAGCTTAGTGTTCCATTACTGCTTCAGAATGATACTATTTTACTCTAGCTGCAGCTGGAATAAGTACTAAGCTATCTTTTTATCTTCAGTCATTTATTAATGATGGTCAGTCTTGTGTAGACATAGCAACCAACCCAAATCTTGAACCACTGTCTTTCTTACTGAAATTTTAGTAACAGGAACCTGCCAAGATATCTGCTGTACAGCAAAACAGAATGGGATTAGGCTTGGACTTTAGACAGCTGTGTAAACTGTGCTTGTGTTTGTCTTTCAAAAGTACTATTAAGTGCAACAGTGAACACGAAATGAAATGTTATTGGTTCAGGAACTACAAGTTGAAGGATTCCAGCTTCCAGAAGTGTTTCTGTGCTTTGGGATTACATTTCTGATATTTTATGTTGAGCTCCAATTTAGGAATGCACTTTAAATCAAGAAAGTTTGTAAGTGTTTTGCTGAATCACCGCCATGGAAATTCAACCAGAATGCTCAAGGTTTATTAACATTCCATTTTTGGAATGAAAACAAGCATCACTTTAAATTTTCCCATGAATTATAAATATGGAAAGTACATGTATTAAAAATGTATTGTGAATTGAAGGATAGCAAATTAAAAGGTACAAGAAAATATATAGACTTAAACTGCCTTCGAAAGCCAAAATCATAGAATACTTCTACTACCTTCAGGGAGCTTTGTACTTAGCCCAGAACAATTTAAGGTTTCCAGCTGATTTTATTGCAGTAGGAAATATTACCAGGTTTGAGAATCCATCAGTTAAGAGTGCTAGTCATAGCAGGCTTCCAATCTAACATTTATCATCTGCAAATAATTCTACATTAATCTCATAACAGCTCCCTACATAACTGTTTTTCTTCTGTATTCTAATTTTGCTGTGAAACAGAAAAAAATCCACTTGAAACTAAGAGAACACTTCATACTATAGGTGAAATCATATTACCTAGTTCTTAGGTTATTATATTTGGTCCATAAGCCTTGCCTTCCCTGTAAGAGTAAACTATAGTTTTATTAAATACCATGGTTTTGTTCTAACTATAAAAGCAAGCTTCAATTCCGGAGTATTTACAACACTTACAAATATCCTTCTATTTGAACAAAAAAACCTCCATGTGCTGACATTTTATTCAAAATGTTTTCTTGAAAGAGAACCAATTGAAAAAAGTATTGTTTCCAAAGGAAGGCCATGGGTCAGCACTATACTGTCCTATCTATGCCTCAACACACCCTCCTTGAGAGGAGTATTTTGGGTAATGGGAGGTAGGCTAACAATACTGATAATCAGGGCCAAAAAAAATATGAAAATCTGTTAAATTATAATCTAGTTTTACATGTCAAACACTGAGAGCTACGTCAGCTCAATTTAGAGGGAGATAAGCATCACGTAATCCAGTTATTGACTAAACAGAAAGAAGCATTACTCACTTGCATAAGAATGTGTTTGAATTGTGCGAAAAAAAGAAATACTGTTGCCATTTTGTCAGTGACAAATACCTAGCAATTTTCTTCTTTAATAACTGAAAAGAATTTGAGTTGATGGGTCCAATCTAGTCTCTCTTGATCCTACAGCTTTCCTGCAGGAAAACACTTCAATAATTGCAGGACATAAATTCAACATTATTAAAATAAAGCAATATAAGGAAGAGGATAAAGTTTGGTGTATAGCACCTATGTTTTATGGTAGCGTAACTGATAAAAGGAAATCTTATTTACTTTCCACTTATTGAAGCACTGTTTGGCATTACTGATGTTCACAGATCCATGTTCTCAGTTCTGAAGGTCATATGCAATGAAAGATTACACAGAAGACACTGTGCAGATTAGGTGGACATCTGAAGATGTATGGTCTACTTCTCTGCAAGCCAGTTTTGGTAACAGGGCTTATTAATACCCAGGAAAACTCATATCTATCTTAATAATATGGCAGAATGAATAAAAGCCCAGCTTTGTACAATCATTAGTATATTATGAACAGTAGATAATATTTAACCTTTAATCCAGACTTACTATGATAATTATCAGCTGAAGAGGAGCTGTAGTTTTTCCATTTTTTTCAGAGATGAAGGGACCTCATTACAGACCAAGGATGGTTACCCAGTGCATCTGAATGGCACCACAGTTTGCTAAAAATGCACTCCTGGAGTTATCTGAAAATGCTACTGAATATCTGCTCACACAGATGGATTAATAGTAAAGCTCTATCACTTCAGGCCACTCTGCTGCTGTGTTGGGGCTACCAGCTAGGATAATGACATTACTCTTTAAAATTTTAGTATTTAGTACAGCTTTGTTGATTTTTTTTTTTTTTAACAGAAAGCAGTTTTAAATCAAAATAGTAAAACAGAAGTAGGTCATTTCCTAGCATAGTATGTCCATTTGAGCCATTGATCATAACTGCACAAGTAGAATTTTCACAAAAATCTTCTTGTGGCTGTAAGACAATCGCTATCTAGTTCTTATTTTTTTTTTCCACTGGGCTGTTCTCTCCACCACTAGGGATGCTTTGCTGACTAGCACCATTAACTGTGTCACAAGCTTCATCTCAGGATTCGCAATTTTCTCCATCTTGGGATACATGGCTCATGAGCACAAAGTTAAAATTGAGGATGTAGCCACTGAAGGTAGGAAGCTAATTTTATACTAGTTTTACCCCTTTTTGTCCACCATGTCTTTGCAAATGTCTTTATTTCAAACAATCATGTGAAATCCTGTGGAAGTGACCTGAATTAATTCACTTGGAACTAAAACTCTGTGTGTAAATGCCTTGCTGAAATGTGAACTCTAAATGATATTGATTCATCTCACCTCTACTGAATTCTCCAACATCCTGCCCCTTAAAAGTTTAGCCTGCACAACAAATGGGCATTAACCACTGCATAGTATCTTGCAGAAGTATTGCTGTTCAGGTGCCTCAGGTTACTGGTTTGGATGGTTTTGGCAAGCTGTAGTCCTTCCTCTGGTAACAGGTCCTTCATGATTTAAGTTCCTGTACCTCTCACCACATCTGAGAATTCTCCTGCCAAACAGTGGAGTCCACACACACACAGTTCCCTCTCAACTACTAGCTGAAAAACAGCTAGTAAGGCTGCAAATACCAATGAAGATTATTAGAAGTGGAAAGGAATGGGCCAGACTTTTTTTTAAATACAAAACTGTCATGGGCTCATTATTAAAATATTTTGGATATATTTTTGGTATAATGCAAATTTTGTTTTAACAGCTACTCAGAAGTGTGATATGGACTGATGTAAACACCAGCTTAAGTCATAATTTATCCTATTAAAATGAACTTTTTTGAAGCTAAGAAACATCATTTAGTAATACTACTATGTTTTTTTTTTTTTTCTTCTATTTCAGGAGCCGGTTTAGTTTTCATCCTGTATCCAGAGGCAATTTCAACTCTTTCAGGATCCACATTTTGGGCTGTTGTATTCTTCATCATGCTTCTTACTCTTGGCATTGACAGTTCTGTGAGTATTTTTTTTTTCCTTCTAGCCTTGACATTTTTTCCTTTACTGTTATATTCTGTTACCAGGGAGGTATCAACCTTAAGGTTGAAATAAACAGGGCGTTTATTGCATTTCAGATACACAATCTGTACATTACCTGCATCTGTTTTCATAGTCACAGCCAACACACCAATACCATGACTCCTGGCAGCATATTTAAAGACTCACGATATCTAAGAGGTCTAGGAAGAGATAAAATCTTTGACAAGCTAGAAAATAATTACTTGCTGCTGCTTTTTTATGACCTTACAGAGGGATTGTTCAACAGCAATTATTACTGTCTAAAGGTATGACCCAGCATCACTGGTATCAACTGTCTCCACTATGAATGTGCAAAAAGGTTTTGAAACCCTATTTGCAAGACACAAGCTACAATAAGATATTGAGTAGAGTAGTTTTTAGAAGAGATTTTGAAGTGTGCTGAAATTCATTAATCTGCTCAATATAGACAGTGTCTGAAGGTAGTCTGATTTTTTTTTCCTACAATCAGTGATACAGAATTTCCTGTAAATTTAGCCACAATTTTAAAATCACACTAGAATATTTCCATAATGGTTTCCTTTTACTACTATCTTACTGCAAAATGTCTAGTCTAACAAGTCTATTTGCTCTTTTCATAATGTGATGACTTCTGCTGTACTACGATATTTTGGATAACAGGAATTTCAGCCCAGAAAATAACCCAAGTCCCCTAACAACTTCTGTACTGCTTCCTTCTTGCCAAAGAGGCATCAAGACATCCTGTTATATTTAGCCAAAAAATGTTGATTAATTTCTGGGAAAACCAAACAGGGTCTTTAAGGAATAGTGAACTATGAACTAACATTCGTCATTTTTAGTAAGGTAGGGGTTTCTTACTATTCCAAAGCAGAGAAGTCTCTTTTGTAGTCCTGAACATATAGAGCTGATCTAGGCATTTCTGTCTGGAAATGGCAAAAAACAGTGTTTCTATTATTTACAACATCAGAAAAACTCATTCAATTTTCAAGGACAAGGAAAAAGAATCAATTGACATGGAAGAGAGCAAAACTAAGAAAAATGAGGTTGCAACAGGAAGCTTTGATAGTCATTGGTATTGGCAAATAGCTGAATGTGGCTTGAGGTCTGTGCTGTAAAGGTCAGATTCAGGTCTAAGTGCTTCCAAAGTGTTTGGTATTTTGGATTCCAGATCAGGTTCAATCAAGTTAATCTTCATACACTACTATTTGGGTCTTTATTCAAAAGTCTGACGCAAGATTATATCCGGGTTTGTAGTTTGGTCATTTTTCATGTAAGCAAATATGAAGGATGGAAAGCAAGGGTGCAGCACAGTACAAAGGCACGAAGACCAGTGGGAACAGGGCAGAAGTAAGAAGAAAACGTATGCTTGGAAATGTTTCAATCCAAAACAGTTACCAACTTTGCAACAGCAGTAAATTTAAGACAATGCAAAGAAATGATTGAGTGACAGTCACGCAGCGGTTTAGATCGCAAAACACACTTTTCCTACAAGGGTAGAAAACTCATTCTCAGGGAGCTAATTAAAATACTGTGAACTGATAAACTGTGGCTAAATTTAGCTTTTTCTTTCTGAAAGGGGAGGAATTTGCTTGTTCATGTTTTGGTCAGAATTGTCATCATTTACCTCAGGAAACTGAGGTCATGCAGTATTTTTTTTAATGGTCTTCTCAACTCTCCCCCTTATATCCAACTGATTAAGTCCCTGAAGGAAAAATGAAAAATTTTAAAGCTAAAGATCAAATAAACCCCAAAGCTAAAGAGGAATAATTATATATGAGTACTTTTATTCATGCATATAAGCCTGTGCTGCCATAAAAATACAGACATCTGTACAAAAATGGAACTGTCAAAATGTTTAAGCAAAGAGAAGTCTGATCATGCAAGTTCAAGCTAGCAACAATTAAAAGGACAGAAAAGGAACTAATGTTTGCAAACATTTTTTTGAATAGGTACCTAACTTGGCACAAGGAATTAACAGGGGGAATAAATCATGACACATTAAGAAGTTACCCTTAGCCAAAACCACCCAAAACGTCTCTTTCCATTTTCAACTTCCCCAAGACCATTTAAGTGCCAACACGGTAGCAACTTCTGAGAACATCAAATATTATCCCATCTTAACTGCAGGGCACTCATTGATGCCCTTTCTCTCCCCTCCAGACACTATATTGGGATATTACAGAGGTAAAAAATACTCACAACTAAAAAAAAAAAAAATAAAAATAAAATAAAAGATGCCCTGCCCTAGCAATTTTTCTCTAGAGAGGAATCACTCAAATTCTGAAGAGATAATTCTCTGCTACTGACTTCAACCAGAGATGATGGTTTCATCAAATTGTTACAGGAAAGGAACAGGCTACGTCAGCACCTGCTCACCAACTATCATTTTGCACCAAGCACTCCTGGTCTTGCCATGATCTTTCAGCATCAGAAAAACATGGAATCCAGCCTCCCCAAAATAGAAAATAAGTTTAATTATCATGACAAGAAAACTTGGGAAGTACCTTCCCAATATTCCAAAGCAATGGCTACTGTTCAGCATCAGCTTCTAGAAGACAAAGTAAAATTCTCTCATGTTGTCAACAAAAATAACTACATCAAGATTCCTACCTAGTGATTCTTCCAGGTCTGTAAAGATATTTGTCAAATGGATTTGGTTAATCGATGGCTAAACTGAATCTTTGTTTAGTACCTTTCCCCTAGGTGCTTGTTGTGTCTGTCTTTATATTAGAAATCTCTTGAGGAGTTTGGTTACTTAAGCTACCAGCTTTTTCCCTAAAATATATCAAAATCTTATTTTTCCCAGAGTGCTGTCTACTTACTACCCTGGTGAGTCAGCAAAGGTTCTGCAGAGGATAAGGCTACAAAGCCAACAACCATGGCACTCGATGTCCAGTTCCCTGACTCAGTTCTCCACCCTGAGAAATTACATCATACCTCAGAACACCAGTGATTTACAGCTGGAATATCAGAAATCATAGAGTGCTAGGGAATTAGTTACACAAGCCATTTGACACTTTGATCTGTGCTTACAATAGTCAGCAGTGTAATAACCAGAGCTCTTCCCTTCCTCAGATGGGCGGAATGGAGGCTGTCATCACTGGCCTGGCAGATGATTTCCAAATTCTGAAGCAGCACAGAAAGCTCTTCACCTTTGGCGTTTCTTTTGGCACTTTCCTACTTGCTCTTTTTTGCATCACCAATGTAAGTGCAACAGAACTTTCCATTAACAAGGTACCTTAAAAAATGCAGTTAAACTCATCAGACAGAAATGTGAACAGGCTCAGGTGACTGGTTTTGTTGTCTATTTTAATAACTTTATGGTCAGAACATTAGTTTTAGTCTTATCTACATGAAGCCTCTTTGCTCTTCTGTACAGGATTCATTAGCTATCAAACCTACAAGTCTTTGTTAAAAAGTATTATCTGTGATACTTCTTGGTTTGGTTTGGGTTTGTGTGTTTTGGGTTTTTTCAATCACATTAAATGGAAAACTGTTCAGTGCTTAATGGCACCTGTTTAGAGTTCAGTTCACCTCACCAGCTGGAATCCACAAAACTGCCCAGACTTGCCCAAATGTCTTGGTTCACATACCTGAAGAAGAGCATTTCTAATGTGTACAAAATACAAATAAAAACTCCTATGATCCCATCATATTAAATCCAATCCATCATATTAAATCAAATCAATTTGATTTTGTCCTCTGAAATTTTAAGGATCTATTTTCAAAACATGTTTCTTGCACAAGCATATTGATCATTCACCTTGCTAAGTCTGACAGCAAAGGCATTCATTTAGAGCAGGTGTAAAGCAAAAACAAGAGGTCAAACTCAAATGTCATTCAATGAGCAACATTGTCTTTTAGCACAACAACCAAAGTTCATCCAGTTTTTGCACAAGTCCCCACAGAATTCAAAAACTAGACGAGGCCTAAGTACTATTCCCTTTGGCTTTTTTTAAATATGCATTTCTGTCTCAGAAAACAACATTTTGTAAGAAAAAAGAAAACCAATTCATCATAGAGATTAAAATCACCTAGAGATCTAAGTAGTAGAAGTGCTATTTAAACCATTGGCAAAACCATGAAAAATCATCCCTTTGTTCCTCCCCTTCTGAACAGGCATAGTCAGATTAAGTTTGGTTGTAAAAAAAAAAAGTTATGAAAAATCTACTGCAACTGCAAACATTTCAGCTGTTTACATGTGACAAAGAATGTCCCGAAACAGTTCATTCAGGTTCACTTTGAAACAAGTAAACATACCATGGCCTTACATTCCTTGTAGCCCAAACAACAAAAAAAAAAAAGCAGTAATTTAAACAAATTCATACCACGTTGTAAAATGAAGCAAAAAGTAGTTCAAATTGTAGCTAAGAAATACCAGAAACAAGACTTCAGTAAATGCACTTCCAGTTTCTACTCATGAGCCACTGAAGAACAGAAATTGCTGTGGTGAAGGAAGATGATCTGGTTTGCACCCTCCCCTGAGCAAAACTGGGCTGGTAACAGAGACTTAGCATTCAACTGCCCCCTTTGCAGGAACATTGGAAAAGAGATGCAGGTGGTCTGGGAAAAGGAGACATCAGTCCATGGCTGCAGATTGACTGGCCTTAGGAACCAACTGAGTGATAATGGCTTGTGGAAACTCTCATAGTGCTCTGTTCCCGACAAAAATTTAGGAAGATCTTCATTAACTACTGTAGACAGGCCCTGTCCTACAAGCTGCTGAGCATTTCCCCCAGCAGCCAATGCCTTCAGCTTCCCCTGACTGCAGAGTGCCAAGAGCACTCATGAATCACCCTCAGCCATGGCCTCTGCTTCCCAGCTAAGTGAGGACACCAGTGCAAGGAAGCCTCTTTAGGAGAGTTGCAATTCTGCAGCATCAGCTCCATAGTAAGACACTTACTATGTATCTAAAGTTACATGAGATGAGTTAAGAGAAAGTTTCAAGTGAAGTACATTCTGTTAACTAAGTAACTAAACTACCAAGATGATTCTATTTGTAACTGGTGTTTTGTTGCATCTTTTAACTCCCCAATGCTAGGGTGGAATTTATGTGCTTACACTTCTGGACACGTTTGCAGCTGGGACTTCAATATTGTTTGCTGTTCTAATGGAGGCAATTGGAGTTTCCTGGTTTTATGGTAAGCACTTCATCTTGCACCTGCAAAATCTTGTCTAAAATTTTAAGAGCTCATGACAGGCTTAAATGCTTTGTTTGAAGGAAAAACGGCACAGCCTTGTATACATGAAACCACGGCAAGTCATATTTCATACAATGACTTTCATCTGATTTATGAACAGTAACAGGAATGCTGATGTTCAGTGAGCCAAGCTTTGAAACCCTACACAAAGCCAAAGAAAACTACCCTGTGAAGGAGACTGCAGTGGCATGGAAACATTACTACTTTTGCCAGTAGCTGATGGGTTGCAGTAGCAGGCTTATACCTGGTACTTTCAAAGCAAGTAGATGAGCCTAAATACAGACTCTCCTATTCCTCCTCTCCATGATTTCCCCAGGGCCAATCTCAAGCCCCCCACCCATGCAATACAAATAAAAGTAGTTTGTCTTCAGAGAGTTATAATTCCTATGTTAGTCTCTTGTGTTTGAGACAAGTCTACTTAATTGTAGAACATTAGTCATCTAAAATTTACCTTGTTTCATGGTATGGAATACCAAACATCCTAGACAGCAGAAATAATACATTTTTACTATTTCAAACTAATTTATGCCACAAAAAAAAAAAAAAAAAAAAAAGGGCACAGTAATTTGCTTTATCCCAAATACAGCAGGCTTTAGGAGTACTGAGTAGATTGTGGCACTAGGCTGGAATCGCTGTGTGCCATCCAGAGCGCAGCCATGTGCTACAGCACCATGAAAAACTGCATCTCACAGCTTAAGTCAGGTCTCAGATGGCGTGCCCTGCTTATGAAATATCTTCCCTGCCCTTATCTGGTCTTTAATACTTTTCTCCTCCCTAAAGTAATATAAATGAGAAGCAAGACACTTGATACACAAGTTTCATAGGAAAAAAAAGAGCTTTTTTTTTATTATTTCCCCTGTGTAAACGATCACGATGGCAGACAGCCACATTCACTACTTTAAACCATATGAATGCACTTGGATAACTTTAACTGGGAAAAACCCAACAAACTGAAGTTGTGCTTTCCACCACAACACTGACTGTGGCAACACAGCAGGACAATCAGTCTGCCTGCACTCCTATGTTGTCTAATTTCACCAAGGAAAAAGAAACAATCTGCTACTAGAAGTGACAAAGATGAATGAAACCCTACTACTGCTACTCTCAAAGAAGTAAAAAGGCTAAACAGAATATTGCTTATGCTAGAAATATTTGAATATTGGCATGCTAAACTTCTGATTATAAAGTTATGAGAGAATATCTGGCCCATTCCCAATTCAGCATTTAACGAATGAGATTTTTTTAAGTAGCTGAAGTTAGTGTTTCAAACATTTCTCTTTTTCCCCTATGCCCCCAACATAGAGGCATTCTTTTTACAATCTAGCACTGACCCGGAATTCAAAATGTCCCCTATCATATAGGAAGGTAAGGCAATTCATAGCCTCAAGCTTAATTCACTGGAGAAGATGCCTTCTCTGGAAGAGCAGAAATTTCAAAGAGCTGTTAAATCACTATATCAAGCAGGGAGGGAAAAAAAAAAAAAAAGTCATAATTGTTGCCTATCGAAAAGCGTGGCGACCTGGCTCAGGAACCGCACGGCGGCCAACCCCAGGCCGCTCAGTCCATCTGCACACAGACACCAATGCGGTGGATGGCAAAATGGAGTTTACTGGTCTGTAACACAGCATTATATAGCTTGGGTTTACAGCATCACTCCCATCTGCTTACGTCATAAACTAAACACTATTGGTTGTCAGGAGAGGGACACTGTCTTTCCGTACAGCGCGATATCTTCCGGCCGCCAGACCCTAACTACCACACATAATTTAATCTGATTTAGGCATATCTTGCTAAAGAAACAGTGAAAATTATTTTTTTTCTTTTGGGGAGAATGCTAGCAGTTCTTTATCTTGCCACAGAGTACGTAAAATTGTAAGGACCCCAAAATAAGTATCTCATTGTTTCCAAATAAAGCAATAGGATTCTACATCTTCGGTCTTACACAAGTCACCTCACTGCAACAGTCCAAACTATCAATTATATCTGAACTTGCTGGCTGCTAGATTAATCAAGTTTCTTGAGCTCTTGTTTGTCTTCCTGATCTCATATCATACTTGCTAGCTGATCAAAACTCTTTTCATTACTACCAGGTTTCAGTGTCTTAGCAGCCTGCAGATCTTCCTACTGAAGTCTGTACTGACCTAGCTGCCCTGATTTCCAGTGAGGTCGTTCTACGTCTGAAAGTCATCTTCATTTCTATTTGGAGATAGTGTTTAGAGTTAATGTATGATTCAGTACGTTCTTAGACGTCATCATTCGTACTGTCATTTACCTCCCTCAACCACTTTATCCATCTGTTCTGCACCACCATATTCTTCTAGCCAAACTCTCTTACAGTTAAAAACCGTTGATGACTGAATGAGGTGGAAGAATGGCATTCTCCATAAACATGTTCACCCTACTAAAGAAATAGTTATTAGCTTTAATATACAAACTCTGTCACCCAACATCAGTAGGGAGTTAGTAGCTCATATGTTGTTCTCTCTCCAAACAGTGCAGCCACCGATTTCACTAACAACTGTCTTTAGTCCCTGTAAAACAGCCACATGCAGAACAACAATCACAGCTTAGTTTAGAAGCATAGGGATAAAAATATTCTTAGGGTAAGTTATTCTTTATTACTATTAAAATAGGATCTAGTGCACTTTACAAGTGCTAGGCTTTGTATGTGGTTCACAGACTAAGCCAGGGTTAGTCAAATTTTATTTATTTGTTGCACTTTCTGTCCTGGGAAATTATCTGTTCACCTGTCTTAAGCAGGTGACAGACATTTTTACAGCATGACCTGTTGCTTCATGAAGAACTTATTACAGTCCTGAGGGCTATTTAAACTGATTAAATCTGACATGGTCTTGTCTGTCTCTTTTTTTTTCTGATAGACCCCAGTTGCCTTAATGACCCAGCTGAATATTAAGCCAGCCTAAAGGCAAGCACTGACATTTTGGCACAGACCAAAACCATGGAAATTTAGCTCAAATTATACCTATGACCACTTGCTGGGAAGTTTCTTCTTGCAAAGACCAATTGTATGTGTAAGACAAGGGAGAGCTGGTTTGTTTTACTATACAAATGTATTTACTTCTGACTGCTAGCTTGTTACCACTTCCCTTTTTGTGCAACCCTGGTGCCATGCCTCTGATGGGTACCCTAAGAAAAGCCAGGTAGCTCTCCCACGGACACAAAACTGCTCTGCCGTTTCACTTGCAGGAAAACCTCTGCTCAGTCAGACTTCACTGTGAACACCCCCCTGAATGACTAGAATAACCTCAGTATGAGCTAGCAATTATCTTCATCCTCACCTATAATCTCATTGCTTTTATTTACTTAAATAATTTTGAAAAAAAAAAATCCCTTGGACTGAAATTTCAGACCAAAAAGTGCATTTATTATAAAGAAAAAATCTGAGTTGGCTGATTTTGCAAAAGGGAAAGAAGTGAACCAAGTACTGAGTGCAGATGCTTTTGTACAGCCACGTGCCTAGCATAAGAGACAAAGGATGAATGCACACATTGCCACAGAACACTAATGAAGTGGGGAAAACCCCACAAATGACTGCCAGACAATGACTTTTACAGTCTTTTTATCCTTCTCTGATGTTCCCAACAACAATGATCACTGAACTGTATGGAAAAATCTTTCCTCAGCTTCTCGTGGATGAGAGCTGGTATAGCTAGGGTTCTGCATTTGGTACACGCACGCTTGTTAGGACAGAAGCAGGGCCCAGGTGTTGTCTTTACGTGCAGAAGAGCACCTCCAGTGTGGTGAACGGATGATAGGATGGCTGAGTGCTTGTGGGCCAGGGTAAAGGCCAGCAAGAATGATATTGCGACCAGTGTTGTTACAGAATACCTGGTCAGGGTCAGGAAGTGGGAGAAGCCTTCTGTAGGCAACTTAGAGGAGTGTCCAGATAAGAACCTGGTTCTTACAGATGAAGGTATCTAGAGCAACTTCTCAGCATAGATGCTAGGTGGGCAAATCCAAACTGACTCTTCCGGATCTGCTACCTGCACTCAAAGATGAGGTGGTCAGGGATGTGAGCATAAAGCTAAGCAAGTCACAGCTTTATGAACTTGCCAGCAACTGAAGGCCAACAGCATACTGAGTGCTAAGAGAAGCAAAACCAGGAGATTACAGGAAGTGATCACCCTCTACTTGGCACTTGTTAGACTGTACCTGGAATACTGTGTCCTGGTTTTTACCCTCAGTAAAATCAGGTGTTGTTAAACTGGCAAGAATCCAGTGGTGGGCCACCAAGTCATTCAGGAGCTGGAGCACATGCCCACTAAAGAAAGTCTGAGAGAACTGAGCTTAGCCTGGAGGAGGCTTACGGAGGACCCAATAGTAGCCATCCAATACCTGCAAGGAAGTTAACAAGAGAGTCACTAGAAGTTGAAAACCAATCACTATTTGAGCTCTTGTTATGTCTGTCTGGAAACCCAGGAATAAAAGTTTTGGAGATATCTAGTACTTGTCTTTCACCTTCTGCACAATGATAAGTTTCACTCAGTATTCACAGCAGTTGAAATTCAGTCACTTTAAAGTTCACAGAAGGCACTGCAAACAGAAATAGATTAAATTTAAAGAGCACAGATCCTTTTGGGTACTTTACTTGTACATAATATTGGGGGGAGTGGGGAGGGGTTTGGAAATCAAAGAGAAGTTTACACTCAAAAAATGGCCAGACCTTGTAAATACACTACGTACTCGCTGTGTGTAAAGGACTAACTCAAGCTGTCCTAGTTATTTACGTTAAATACATTAAATAAATCCTACTGAACTGATCCACATATAAAGAAACAATTATGAAACAATATACATCCTCTCTAACAAAAAAACTTCATGTCAAAAAAGCTGCCTTTCTGCTGTTTACTTAAAGGGGTTCACCATTAAAAGTAAGCTTCCTGAACACACTACGTATAATAAATTACAAACAAGTAGTCTGACGTGACAGATGGCACTAAAGAACTAGTTCTCTGTGAGCCAATGCCTCTAGGGCATGAAGTCAGAGATTATTTTTTTTTAAAGAAAACTGAGAAGGACATTTTTTTTCCTCATTTTTATATCAGTGATAATCATCCCTTTCTAAAATATAGTGTGGAAAATAGCATGAGCTTAGATTAAGCTTTTACAAGATACCTCATACTGGCAAGTCTAACCAAAGTAGAAGCAATTTAAAAAAAAAAAAAAAAAAAAACAACCAGCCAACAAACCAAAACTAGGAAGAAGCTACTGTTTAAACAGACATTTTACAGTTGCTATAAAATGCATGCTTGCTTGCATAAATTATAGTATTACTTCATGCCAAAAAAGTGTTCCAATAAATACTGAAGATGGAAAATGTTCCACTGAAGACTATTTTCAGGAAGTCCAAAGCATGTGAGTTGATGTGAATTAAAATATTACTAGAGTAAAAAGATACATTTCTTACATCCAGACAGCTTGATACCCTTGTAGATGATTCAAAATCTTTAGCTCAATCAGGGTAAAGCCACTCAGAGAAAGCACATGATACTTGTGCAGTGCTTCCTAAGGTATTCAGACTCAGAATTTATAACACTTAACTGTGCAAAACCCAGAAGAAATTAAAAGACAGTGACTGAAATGCCATTTCTTTCTTATTCACTGTTAAAGAATTTGGTATGTCCTGAGGAATCCAGGACAGCAGAGTTTTTGTTTTCACCTCAGCCTGCACAGCGTGATCTGTTCTGAAGTCCTGGTCTAGATAGTGTTTCCGAAGGGGAGTCAACAAGGTCAGAGGGTCTCCCTTTCTGCATTGGCTGTGGGAAAAGATTTCTATTGCAACTATTTACACTATATTTATAACTATTAATACTTCAACTGACATAAGTACCAAATACACACATGCAGCGACACACACATACAAAATCTCAGACTAGATGGACTCAAGGGATATTAAAGACTGAGAGCTGAGTATTTGCAGCTCTTCTCCCCTCTGGCCATTAAGTCAGTGCCTGTGATGTGATGACGTGTCTGGCCATTATTTCACGAGCTTTGTTCTGGTGCCTCCATTTCTCTGCACTGCAGCAACTCCCACTGCAGGTAGTTAATGATGGAGTGATTTCAAATGGGATACTGTTAGTTAGTTCTGGCAACAGAAAACTTTGTATTACAATTCAAGAAGCAATTACAAGTCTTACAGTGAAATACTGTATGTTACTATCAATGTTTTGGTAATAATTAAGTGAACAAGCCATCCATGTTTCTAAACCCATATTCAATATTCCTGGTACAATTAGGAGGATGTACCTTTAATCTATGTGAGTTTAACAATTTTCTTGTTATCCTCTGCTATCTGAATTACTGCAGCAGGTAAAATTTCTGACTACTCTTAGTTTTTACTCACATGAACAGATCATGTATCTTCTAAGGTATCTACAACAGCTACTTTATTAGATATTCAGATGCATACAGAGATAACAATTTTAGAAAATTCTAGTTGGTATTACAAGCTTTAAAAATATTTGAAAGTTATTTGACATACAGGCACAGTACTGTAAAAAAGGCCACCTGTTTCTAGCTGATATAGTTTTGTACACATTTACACTGACCAGAAGAAGCATCCCTCCAATTCCTTGGAAAGCAATAAAAGATAAATATTTGTCATAGTTACAATGAACATTCTGTGGTATTCAGTGAAACACTGGATGGTAAGTTAAGTATGCCATTAAGTGGATCAAATAAGCCTCCTTTGATAAATCAGGATCATAGGAATCTACATGATTATCAGTAAGCAGCTGGTGTTAGTAAGGGCCTGAATTTTCCTTCAGTGTACACTTAATAGTACTGAGTAAATAGTTTACAGTAGCCCACAGCTATTAAAAAAAACCCACGTGCATTCCAACCTGACTTCTGGATATCTGTGAAGTGACACTTTTCAATAGTCATGCTATTTGCAACAGGCCTTAAGTGCTTACAGGCATTTAAGCCTTGGATAAAGTGCTGTCAGAAACACCTCTAGTCATTGAATGGAGCTCAATGTGGTTGTATATGTTCTGATTTGGAAGTCATTCACATCTGCTTTCTGAAAAAGATGTTCGGGGTATTCTGACATCTCTTCAGTTAAGATTTATGTCACTCTGATGTTCACATCCCTTCTAGGTGTGGACAGATTCAGTGAAGATATCCAACAAATGATGGGCTTCAAGCCAGGCCTCTACTGGAGACTGTGCTGGAAATTTGTTAGCCCTGCTTTTTTATTGGTAAGTATTGACAATTATTTCCTCATGGAGAGAATGCTAGTATGTTGCTTTCTAGAATATACAATAGGTAGGTATTAAGAGCAAGATATTCATTACTATGCCTGATGTCAGGATGAAAAGAATTTCCAATTTAATTCTTATTTCTCCTCAATTGCAGTGGTCACGCTTTGTATAATACATTTCAGTTGTGAAAGAGAAGCTAACTCTGGCTGTGGTCATCTTCTGTCCCTTCACTTCAGCAAGATTTAAGAAGGCAGCTTTTCTTAGGGAACACTGCACATTTAGGCAGTGTTCTCCCTGTTCCACCACTATCTATGCATATTAAACACTAATTATTCTGTTGGGAAAATAACCTAACCAGGGATAAAAGATCATGTTAGCAAAAATTTGGTTTGCCTTGAAGGATACCAAGATCCCTGAATTGTGGAATGACACCCTAAAAAACCTAACACACAACTAGACCCAGTAATTAGCTACATGAAACACTGAAGTGATGTATTAAATATACCTTGTAAGCTGTCTTCTGTGAAAAAAAAAAAAAAAGTGCTTCATTACACTGGGGGAAAAAAAAAAATCCCAGTGTGAATTTGGTTGCTTTATGTAAAGGTCAGATTCAGAACTAAACTACAGTTTTATATTGGGAACTTTTCCTATGTATATTTGTAAATCAAAAGGTCAGGAAGAATAATAGGGAAATTTGCCCTCACTATGATTTTAGGAGTCTCCTAAGTGCATTGAAGCTGTGCGTTCTTAAAGCAGTAGTGCTATTCCAAAGATACACTGGGTAGGCTTTTCTGACAGCATTCAGGTCCACTCTTTTTTTAAATATAAAAGCTTCTGGCCCCCATTAATCAGTAAGCGCCTACCAAGCATGTATTCATTTAAACACTGTTCTCTAAAGAAGCTGGTAGGGAACTACATCCTGCAGCACTTCAAACAGGCTGACTCGAGTCCAAGGGAAAACTGCTGCACCCTATGGTAAAATGGAAAAATGCTGCACCAAGCATCTTTAGGTTTTGCACACTGGGAGACTATTGTAAATGTAAATCTTACAAAGAGAGAGTTCTACCCAGCTAGGCAGAGAAAGTTGAGCTGACTGTCAGTCTATGTGTCAGGTAGCTTGCGAGGGAGCGTAAGGAACAAAAAGAATCTGTAGTTAACTGCACCCTTCAGCCATCGCAATGCACAAATATTTTTTCCATGTGGAAGTGCTAAACTTGGACTATATCAACTTAATTATTGAGTACCAATATATTTTAAACCCCATGGGAATGATATCTCACTGAGTAGGGGACACTGTGCAGTTTTGTTATGCCTGTATATTTCCTCAGTTTTCTAAAAGGCACTATGGACAATACAATCTTGGTTTATAGGGGATAAGTAAATATGATTCACCTTCTTACAGCCTATCTTTTGGGTTTGTCATTCAGTACATTAATAAAGTAAATTATGTTAAATTGATCAAAACAGTTTAACTTATTGACAATCACCTGATCTTCCTACCAAAATTTCAAGCAACCTGTGTCCAGAGTAGCTAAAATGAACTGTTAATACTAGTAAATGCATCAAGAACTTCAACAGTTTAAGTAGTAAGAGCCACAAAGTAAAGAGGGCAGAAGTAAATGGTGAAGCTAGGCTGAAATACACCTTAAGAGTGGCTGCCCAATTAAACACATAAAATCAGTTTTCCACCAAGTTTCTTCATCTCCAAATGGTGGTTCATTTTATTCTTTCTTTCCTAGTTTGTTGTGATAGTCAGCATAATAAATTTCAAGCCTCTGACCTACGATGACTACACCTTCCCTCTCTGGGCGAACCGCATCGGCTGGGGAATAGCATTATCTTCAATGATACTTGTGCCTGCCTATATTATCTATAAATTTATGAATGTGCGTGGGACCTTCAAAGAAGTAAGTGGACTGCTAATAAAAAGTCGTGAAATGTTGCTGTGAAACAAAATGGCTGGATATAGGTTGGCAGTTTGTTCCTCTTACTCCCAAAACTTATTACTTATGAGTGACCTTTTGGATCCAACCATCAGAAGGACTGGAGTTTTGAGGTAGGATTACTGCAAGCTGGTAAGTTTCTAGACAGAAAGTAGCTTCCCAGGCAGCACCATAATACTGAAAAATTATTTTTGGTGCATGCAATTAATTTAATGAATGAGATTTTTTTCCTTATTAGCAAAAAAAAAAAAAAAATTACAAATTATGTTATCTTCCTATTCAGCTCTGAGGTATGGCCTCCACACAGTTCTGCCCAAGCAGAGCTCAGTCCAAGGTATCCTGTATCACTCTGGACTGGAGTGTTGTAGACTGTCATACACACAGAGCTGACTCAGACCTCTCCCGATGTGCCCCCAGAGTTGCCCTGTGTTCATTTGATGAACATCTAGTAAGGACAGAAGGAATGTTTTACTGCCTTACAGCAGCAGATCATTTTCTCCAGTATTCTGTCTTTAACAGCAGCCACTTCATATTCTTATCCTTCTATTTCTTGGAATTATTTCTGCCATGGCTAGAATTAATGCAGATCTTTCTGTCGTGTTCATCACTAATATTAGAATGCTTGAAGAAACTTAATATTCAAGATAGACCAAGGTGCTGAAACAGACCTGGAAATCAAAGAAAATTCTGATACAGGCACTGCTTATCATCTCATCTAGCCTCTTGCTTTTCAACTACTTCAGTAAAAGAAGCAGGGTACTAGACAGAAGCATCTTGCACTACATAGAGCAACTCAATGTATAATATGCCTGAACTGTGCACTGAACAGAGCAGAAACCAAGGGCATAACAATTTGACTATCCCATTCTAATGACTTGCCTAACAGCAAGAAGTTTAACATTGAAATCTTGGTGGTGATCTTTTAACTTTATTTATATGTTTATGTTTAATATTAATGCATAAATTCTATTTAAAATAATCTGTTTCTATGGAAAAAAATGCATCCGTATTTTCTTACAGTTCTCCCCCCTCTGCTTTATTTAGCAGTTCAAAATGGCACAGAATTATGGTTCACTGATCACATTTATTTTACAACCACAGTCATAGTAAATTATCCACAGTCTTAAAACCTGTAATGGTGCTCAGAAGTAAGACCCCTCAACATTATACAGCATCACTTTTTGTCCCGTCGCATGTCATAATTTTATAACCTAATCTAGACTCTCAGACCTACACCTAGCTCTATTGCTTCCCTTCCCTACAGCTACAGTTACACAGTGGTGTAGCAAGACACTAACCCTCTTCGGCAAATCACTGCACCACCACCACAGAGAATTTAGCAGAGAACAGGCTCTCACCCATTACCTAGATAGGGCACAACCCCTTGTGTAGACCTGGCAGACCCAGAGGGATAAACGAAACACTACAGTCACCTCCTTTCATGTTCACCTCAGAAGGGCACCCCAGAGCAGGAACTCCTCTTCACCTGCCCCATTTTCATCAGCTCTAACATCCCAATGTTGTACACAGTTTCTAGTTCTCATTTCCAGCAATTTTATAAGCCCTTTGTTTTCTTCTCACCCATTTTCTAGTAGCATCTAAGTGTCAACGAATAATTCGTGCTGGCCCAGCAGACTTTTGCCAGCTTGCATGAGTTTACCAATATTGGGCTGTAGAAGCCTTCGACCAAACCCACATTCTCTCATTCATTTTGTATTGTTGGCAAGTTCTGGTTTGCATTTTACAGTTCCTGTAGACAGCAACTCTCCTCTTTCCTCACAAGAAATATAGCAAAAGGCTGGTGTATTACAGCCGAATGACTATGATAAGATAGGATCCCCTAAATTGTGGCACTTAAATGCATGGAGGAAGGTATGCTCTTAGTCTAATGGGAACTCTGTAAACTGGTTTAAAGTTCATAATAAACCAAAATCTACGTGTGATCCCAAATATCACAACACAGGGGACAGCAAGGGAGATGAGCTGCCAAGCAGTCAGTACCTCTTTCCTGACACTGGGATGGGCCAACCTCATTACAGCACTAGGAGAACAGTGTGAATTTAGGGGATGTAAGGCCTGTGATGCCAACTCGTTCCTGATGTTCTTTTCCATATGCACTTGCTAAATATTTGGACTTAGTATTTGCATAAACTTTCCACTGTTGCTTCTTATATGAAAGACTAATACCAAGGGGCTTATAATAAGCTTGTTCTCTCAGTGGCTAAGTTAAAGGCACATGATACAGTGATATTAAAGATTTATGTTACTGTTTTAAATAAAGTTCATGCTACTTCCCCGTTATAGAGTGGGGATTACAGACATAATGCCACTTCCTATGGCTGACTTTTTGCTCTTCTTCCCATCTGGTTTAGAGACTAGCTTACTGCATCACACCTGAAAACGAGCACCAACTCGTGGCCCAAGGAAATGTCAGGCAGTTTAAGGTTTGTACTCTTTTCACCACGCTTCCTCTCCTGATATAAACCCTTCCCTGTTTCCAGCAACAGCTAGAGGTCTGCACCAATCTCCTCACAGTGGATACCTTTGCAGGTCTGTGGTTCTTTATTTTTGCCAGCACAAAAAGACTTAATCTTCAGGAGGCTTAGTACTATATGCATCACCTCGTGGAAGGGTTTTGGCACCTTCCTCCTTTGACTAAGCAGAAGCCGCAGTTTTACAGATCACCTGAATCCCGTATTTTAACTTCCATTTGAATACAGTAAGATCTTACCAAGAGACAAACATATTTCCTAACTATCATGTGCATTTGAACAAGTGGTATCCTCTCTCTCAGCTATTGCACAGACATCTGAAGTCCTGTTTCCTGAACTCAAATTCCGTACCACGACATAGGGTAAACAGCAAAATCCAGTGTCAGAGCCTAGACATAATGGCCATGATGAAATAATGTGCTAGGTTATGTGGGAGAGGCTTTCCCCACAGGCCTCCAGTTGATTGAAAACACTGCTGGAGACTTCTTAAGCACCCATGAAAAATATGTTATAGGTTTCCAAATACTGCTTTCCTTTTAGCAAATAAAATGAGCTTATTGAAATAAAGTCCTTTTTGTGGAAGATAAAAAGAATGCAAATATGAAGCTTGTTACACTTATCAGCATTCATGCTGGATCACTTTCTATCTTCAAAGTTGAAAGCAACTAGAATTATGCACACCACCTCAAAACATGACCCAGATTTTATAGTGGTGGTTTGTATGTTGGTATTGAAAAAATAAATTTGCCTTTTGCTTACTCTGAAAGATGCTGTTTGAAGTGTAATTTTGAATTTTAAAGGAAACAATCTGAGTGTCAATTTATGGGATACAGAATAGAAGCAGGAAGAAAAGGCTTCCTGTTTCATGACCATAATTTATTTGACGTGGCCAAGAATACGCAGTAGCACAGCACCTCTTCCTGCCTTCTCTTTCCCCTATTCCTGTCCTCAGTTGTCTGAAAATTTAATGTTTCAGCTGTTAGTAATAACCTGATTTTTCTAGAGGCAGATATTCCCGTGCGAACAGGCTATAAACAGCCACAGTATTGGTCTTCTGAATTCAAATCTATAACTGCAAAAAGGAAACAAATAAATTAAATGTAAATTAGAAGATTTTACTTGGAAATAAATTCCTATTGATACCTCAAATCACGCCAAACACTAAAGCATATTAATTTGTTGCTCTCGCCAACAAACGGTTTCACTACTGCCAAAGCATAGTTAGTACTTTGTTCATGATGTTTAAATTTGTAAATAAAACATTGCCTGCTGTAACCAAACAAGTAATTTTCTTCTCATATATTTGGCAGTTCTGATTTTTAAAAGTGAACTGAGAGCTGACTAAATAGCTTTTATATTCAGCACATTTCTCACTACAAAGAGGAATCTACAAAAACTGTTATAATCTATCCCTTATTTTGAAACCTCTTTGTAACCCCAGGTTTGTCAACCAGCGTATTTTAAACATCTTTCATTACTATCATTTGAATTAATAACATTCTTAACTACTTCTGTTCCCTTGCAGCTTCAACACTGGCTAACAATATGACAACCAACAGGCTGAGGAAGAAGCCAATGATAAGCTAAACTGAGAATACAGAAAAGTCAAATTCAAAGCTCCCTCGATTATACTTGGACCAGGCTGGCTCAGAGCTCATTTACTGACTCTTTGAGGGAAAACATCTGCTCTCTGTTCTCAATGCCTCCCTTCTATTACTTGGCTTCAAACAATCTTTAAAGACTCCGTTTAATTTTTCTGACATCCTTTGGTGCCATGAGAGCCCTACATGACCAAAACTTGTGAGTTTTGCTATTGGTAGAAGTGGAGGAGGGGGGAGCAGGAAAAAAAAAAAAAAAGCAATCAACATAAGTTAAATGCTCTTTTACTGTGAAGAAGCAATTTAAGCTTTTCTGACAGTAAAAATTACTTCAGATATTCATGCCATGACCTATTTTAAACCAACAACACCTGAACCTTCCTAGATCTAAGGAAAGAATACATTGCAGTTACGAGGAAAGAGCAATTTTAACTATGTACTAATGTCATTAGCTTTCTTGCCATACTATCCTTTGGGATATGAGTTTGCATCCTTCTGAAGTGAAGACTCAGTGCTTCATTTTCAGTGGTTTGTTATTAGTTTCTTCTCTTGGTGAAGAAGGTTGTCTTTGCTATGTGTGTCCATGCCATTTTCTGTCCAGTGTAATTATACAAGCTGAAGAGAGGCACGAACAGAATTCCTGTTACAGCTACTAAGTACAGAATATAGTTTAACACTGCACTGTACTTAAGGAAAAACATATTCCCTGGCTTTACCGTATGACCCATACTTCATATGAAAAGTACATAGGAAGACAGAATAATTTTTAGAATTTCATCATCTACCCAGAGGCACCAAAATACAAACTCTGGCTTTATTATCCTGCTGTGGACATGATATTTTTGTAATTTAACTTGGATTCATCTACCAAAACATACTAGGATTGTGTTGAAAATTTTAAAATAATATTTTAGGCATATTCAGCTCTCTTAAGCCAATTCCAGCTCTTCTCTCTGGTAATATTATGCAAGGTAGAAGATACAGAACAAACTCTGCATTTGGCTGCTGTTCCTATTCTGTGATCACTTAGCACTGTATCATCTTCCCAGTGATCACTAAATTCAGTAGATTCAAGTTATTTCTTGTACTTATTTGCCACTAGATCCACAGTAATTTTCAGAGGCAGTAGCTTCTCAGCTGAATCCAGCTTAGAGTTTATCTCCGGACCTTACCTCTGAATTTTTCTGCCTCTACACATTCAATTCAGCTTGTCTTTTAACTGTACATAGCGCTTTCTCTTTTTAAAAAGACCATTTAAATGATAGGGCTTTTTTTATTTCTAAAACAACTTTTGTTGAGGTTCGTTTTGTTTTGCTTTTCCCTTTAAAACAGCTCAGTTTAAAAGTCCCAGGTGATTTTGGCCTTTTCCATTTAACATGGCCATCTGGTCAAAATAATGTAAGGAAAATTTCACTCCTTATTTATCCTTTTCCTCCAACATCCTCAATATTTTGGAATGTATCAAATACTGTCCATTCCTTAAAAAGTTTCTGTGATAAATAGTAGTTTTATTTAAACAGGCTTGTAAACCCAAAGAATATTTCCTTCTAACTATAAAGGAAGTAGTATTTTTTTGGACCAGCTGATGACTGATAGCTATTTAAATCCAGTTATTAAATACATTTCAATAATAAAGGAGTTTCAAATGTTGCAGTTCTAGTTCTGTAATTACACAAAAGGCCAAAGAGTGAAAATATGTTGAGGGCTTCAAAAAAGCCATCCCACCAACTTCATAGTTAATCCCATTTTTATTGTCTGCTAAACTACATGAGACTTTTCATTGTTATAAAGCTTACTTTTCAATAATACAGCCGCTTCGGTCACTAGCTTGGCATGACTCAAAAGCTTCTTAGCGTAGATATAATTACCACGTCTTGAAACTCTTGGGGGCTTTTTAACATGGAGCTTTAATAGCTCATCACTTTGTACTTTGGTTTGCTCACAACTGCAAAGGCTAGCAGCGTGCAGCACTGTTCGCTTGTGACATTGCCACCACTGCCACTATCCCAGCACCACCGTCTGTAGAGGAGCACCCAGGTAAAGTCACATTTCATCACCATTCTGAGCTAGGAGCAAGGCTATCTTAAAATGGGAGTGAAATCAGCTTCACCCAGCATGGGAGGGTTTGACTGTATTTTAATACCAACTCCCAAGGCAATTACCTACCACATTATTTCTATTACAGTATAAGTTCTTAGGCTTTGTGTAGTATTTCTAGCTCAGGACTTGGTTGCACTACTGCCATCTTGTTCAGAGGTTTTATAAACAAAGAACTTGCAATCTATACAGAAGACAACAGACAAATTATAGAAAGCAAGAATCTTATCACCAGGAATAGCCCTAAAGAAAAAAGAGAATACACATTGCATGACTGCACAGGCAAGTTTTAAGTGCAAGATGTTGCCCAAAGGAAGTCTCCCCCAAAATAATACAACTTCTGTCCCAGAGATGAACAAAAATGTCTCCACAGAATAAGATGTTCAACTACCTCATGCCTCTTGGACAGCAAGCAATGCCATTAGACAAAAACTAGTGTCCATTCAAATGACAAACACCTTTGTAAAGACCAAGACCAGGTTATATTCTTTTCCTCCTCTCTGTGACATGGTGCAGACAGTCCAGTAAGAAGCCACAGTTCTGGCAGCCAGCTACTATTAGGCACCTGCTTTATATAATATGGAAAACATAAAATGCCACTAAGATACTTGTCTCCCTTTATTTCCACCACTTGCAGTTTTAAAAGAAAAAAATATTTAAAACCCACCCAGTCAGGTCCTCATCACCCATTTGGTTTAACTGCAAGTCTTCCTCTAAGTCAGTCTTGACTTCTCAGCCAAGCAGCTCACTCCTTCCCTCAGCTGTATCTATTGTGGGAACAGAAGCGCTCTGGGGAACCATGCTCTCCCAGACAGCCCCCTGGGATGCTGATGGAAAAGGCAGCCCACTTCCAAACACAGAAAATTTTTGATACAAGCTTATTCAAGATGCAGTTTCATCTGCTTGCTAATTATGTTGGCTGTTTTGGTAACAAGCCAGTGGGAAGAATTCAGTGAAAGAATTAAATAGTTCATGTGAGAGTTCTAGAAAATATTTGCTTGAAAGCCTTTTTAAAAATATGATAAAGGAAGCAGCTGTCAGACATTAGCATCTCTCTTCTGACCCTCCTTCCTGCCAGTGAAAAAGACCTGCCTGTGATCCATATTGTTTCATCAAGCCACAGAAAGTCGGTGAGCACCAAGAAAAGAAATCCCTCATTTGCTTGCTATCTCTCCTGCTGTCATTCAGCAGGACAAGATGGCAGGACAAGCTGCCACTGTTCTACAGCTACTTTACTCAGCCTCCAGAGATTTAGATTTCTAGTAGAAACAGCAGGTCTTTCATGGGCAACAGCCCAAAAAGCACTAGTGCTATTTAGTGTTCAGCCCCTGTTTGAACCATATCTTTTTTGTCAGTCCTTCTTGTGTTCTGTCATGTCCTGAGGCACACACCTTGGCAACACTTGAAAGACATCTGACCATAGTGAGGGATTTTGCAGGAAAACCACAGTCAAACATGATATTTTTAAATATAGAAAGTAGGAGAAATACTTGGCTGTCACTATTATACATGTTCTCTAACTGCACGTGCAATGTATGTTGCATGTAATTTTCCCAGAGGAAATTTCCTATAATTGGTCATTTCTTCTCAGCAAAATACCATTTAAATGTTATTATTTAAAAAGGTCAAGCCCAAACATTTTGTATATACATCTACTTCTTATGCTATTGTTTTGACATTAATTGAGTTCATTTTGTACTGTTAGGTTGCAGGAGGCCACGTAGAAAGTTCTTTTGCTTTTAATGTCTCTTTTGCTCTTCCAAATCACAGAGCATTAATTAGCAGATACTTGCTTTTAGTGAAGTAGATAGTGAATTAGTCCAGGATGTGAAGGAAAGCTAAGTTTTATGAGGCACTGGTAAACATTGATGAATTTATTTCCTCAGAACCAAATTTAAACTGCAGATCATCAGTTTCAAAAGAGATCATATTTACAAACTTTTTATTTGCAGTGCCCTGTTACAACATTTTAAAATGGGTCTGAAGGACTCAGACATAAGACAGTTATTACAGCTCAACAAATGACAGTACCTACAGAAAATGTGGGCACTCTCAGCAGTAAAGTAGGATATGGTTGTTCTAATACACTTTATTTTCACAGGGTTAAGAATATTTATGGTCCACAGATCAGCTCACATCCAAGAACTCAATCTCCTTAATTTAAAGGCCAACATGATGTTTCAGATTAGACCCTTGAACAACTTTCGAGTCTTTTGGCTATAGTACAGGGAGACGGATCTTCTGGAAACACCTCCAGAAAGTCTCCTCCAAAGGAAAACACTTTCAGTCTACCTTCCTCTGACTCATACCCATGTTCCTGCTGGTGACTGCAGGCTGATCCAGCTCATCAGTGGAAAAGTTAAGCTGTTAGAACATGCAACTTAACTGTTTATATAATACATCACAGAAGTCAGAAACATGACCTTGAAGTGACTTTACTAGGTTCATCTCTATATACAAGCTGAAAGTAGCATATTTTAAGCAAAGCTGGCCAAAAATCACCACATAGGACTAAATTTTTGAGAGCTGCTTGGACACCTGAATTATTATAGATCTTCATTTACTAATCTAATATTAGCTAGTGTATGAGAAAGCCAGCCACATTCCAGCTTCCTTTAGGACAGCATTACACTAGTACAGGATACTGCAAAACAGTCCAGAAAAAAAAAAAATTTAGAACTTAAGTTAGGCCTTCAGTTAAGCCCTGTTACATCTGTGACCTTGCATCATTTCAGAGAGGATCGTATACAGGGAACAGCTGTATCTCAAGCACAGATGTTTCAGTGTTTCCATGCTGTGGAAAACAGTTTTTTGTTCAGCCATTTCAGTCTGTTATAACTCAGACTCCATTAGGAACCTTTCACCAAGCACTTGTCGCCTGCTAATCCATGTTCCCTGTCATTTTTTGCTGGCAATCAGCCAAGACCACGCAGAGTGACCAAGCAGGCATGCACGTGTTCCTTAGCTGTGATGAGATGTACAGTTACTTGGGTTTGCCTGCTCAGGATGAGCACAGGACCAAGAACCTCAGCTAGTGAGTAATTTGCACTGTTCACTGCCCGAGACTGAATTCAGATGCATCTACGTGCAGACTGCTAGAGGGAACTAGATGGCTGATAAAGACATCTTAACCAGCAGGAAAACCTAACAGTACAACATAGCTGCGTTTACTTAGAGAATTTGATCAGTTTTCCTTCACTATTTAAACACAGAGTATGTTTAGACAAATTGCTACCACTGTATGACTGACTTAGTTCTTTAACAAGGGAACAAAAAAATAAACCAGTAAAGTAAGAACACTCCTAAGCCTTAAGCTGTCTCTCTTTTTAAGGTATCATGTTGTTTCTTGGTCATTGCCAAGAGGCCTCGAACTTGCAGGTAGTAATTTACGTTGCACTCTGAACTTACCTACAAGACCTAGCTTTTGTTTGCTATGGGTAATATCAGTTCCAAATAGTATATTTTGAAAATAACTTCTAATAGGTCTGATGAAGATTTGCCTTACAAATAAAAGCTTTATAGTGAGCATTTACTTGGTTTACACCAGTGTTTTACTTAATTTTTACTGCCTTTTTATAGCAGTGACTAG